TGAACCTTTTCTTCTTCTTCTTAGCAGGGGGAGTGGGGCCCGTGCAGAAGTTTGTCACCTGGAGACTGAGACGCGGTAATTCATGCATCCCCATACCAGGGCCTGGTTTACAGCAGAGCTGCCAATGGGGTGCATGTTGGAGGCAGCTGAGGGGTTTGGGCTAACCTAAGTTGGGGTCAAGAATGAGGGATCAGAAAGATAGGGAGGTGCATATTGGGGCAGCTAAAAAAGAACTGGACTAAGTTTACTAAGAAAGATAGGGTTCGAGGTAAATATTGGGGTGCATTTTTAAATACTGGGAGCTTAAGTTGGAACACTCAAAGACAGATTTGAGGGACAAAAAGGAACCTGTGCTAGAACTCTAATAGGGACCAGACTAACATGACAGTGCATGTTCAGGAGGCCTGGGGGGCACTGGGCCAGGACTTCATTAAGGAACAGACTGGTGTAGGGGTTGTGTGTTTTGGGGGCTGAGGGGCCTGAGGAGGAGCTCCATTGGTGGGTAGGCGAGACCATGGTGGGGAGCATCTAGGCTAGGCTGGAACACCATCGGGGGCACTTAGGCCTCTTAGCCAGCCTGTCCTGGGGTCTGGCCCTCACTGAGGGAAGCCCTGCCTCCTCCCCTGGTGACTCCTGGCTCCTTCATCATACCCCTCTGTTCCTGCCCTGCAGACCAGGAGAGGGGGCGAGCCCTGCTCTCCGCCAGGTCCGGGAGTCCCTCCAGCCAGCTGCCCAATGTGGATGAGCGAGTGCAGGCCTGGGAGAGCCGACGGCCCCTTATTCAGGACCTGGCCCGGCGGCTGCTGACTGATGACGAGGTGCTGGCCATCACTCGCCACTGCTCCAGGGTGAGCCTTTAGCCTGCCCCCAGACCCAGCATGTGGTCACTCAGTCACCCAGCTCCTCATTCATTCAGGTCACTGCTGACTAGTACTTGGGCTTGATGCTGTGAGGCCAGAGGTCCTTAAAAGCAGAAATTGCCACTGTCATGTGCACACACACACGCACGCACACACACACACGCACGCGCGCGCGCGCACACACACACACACACACACACACACACACACACTAAGCTCACAGCCAGGAAGGGGGAATAGATAATAACTAGAACCTAAATATCCATAGCAACAAATCATGTGAAGTACTGTGAAGGAAAAGAACATGAGAAAATAACCCAAGAAATACAAATTAGATGTGGTCTGGGAGGGCTTCCTTGAGGAGGTGATATTGAAGCTGAGGAGAGAAGAAGTCAGACAGTGATGAGTTGGGAGACATGAATCCCTGCAGTCACCTGCCCCCATTTTCCTCTAAACCCCAGCCTCCTCCTCCATACCTTCCTGGGTCAGCTAACAGGCCTGGCCTCATGCCAGACCCCTACTCCTATTTCTTATTTCCCTTTGTCCCCTCACACGGCCCAAGCCTCACCTAACACCTACACTGTTATGCTCTTTTCTCTTCCACGTCAAACAGACCAGAGGGCCCAGGGTGGGGTATAGGTTAGGTTTGAGGGAGCTTTTGTAGCCTGAATGTTGGGGAGGCTGCGGGAGGCACAGGTCATTCCCTCAAGGAGGATTGGATGGCCCTTTTCTAGCCCGCTGTCTCAAGAACCCTCAGGTTTCTGCGATGGCTTCCCTGTGATGAATCTGCATCTGCGCACACATGACCCTGTGTGCGAGAGGGCAAACTGAGGAGTTTCAGGGAATCGCTTGTGGATCCCTCCACTTCCTGACCTTGGTCAGAGTGGGCTGAGATGTATGTCTGTGTGATGTATGCATTTGTCTGTGTGGGCTACCTGGGTTTGTGTTGACTTAACAGTACGATAGTATCTGTGCGTGAGTGTGTGTGTATCTGGCTAAGGCACATGTGTGTCACCTGGAGACTGAGACATGGTAATTCATGCATCCCTTTACCAAAGCCTGGTTTACAGCAGAGCTGCAGATAGGGTGCCTGTTGGGAGCAGCTAAGGGCTTTTGGGTTTAACTCGGTAAGTGTAAGTGTGGTGCTCAGCTCTCAGCACTAAATGGGGCTCTGTGTTTACCAGCCTCTGTGAGCCTGCAACTCTGAGGTGTGGCCACTAGGTGGGGCTCTGTGTCTGTTTCTTTGTTGGACTTTTTCTCCCTCATCCCTCAGCTCCTCTCACCCAGCGCAAGGTAGGTTTATTCTCACAGTGTCCCCACAACACCTGGGGAACTTGGCATACCACCCAAACCTGACGCAAGCCCTGCCCACATCAAGAGATCAGATCCTCTGGAGTGGAATCCTGGCCTGAAAGATTAGTAAAGCTCCCCTAGTGATTCTAATGGGTGGCCCTGAACTCCCAGGCCTCCCTTCTCTCCTCCCCATTAGCCACCTCTCCACAGCCACCAAACCAAGCATTATAAACCACCTCTCTGATCACTTTACATTCCCCAAGACTCCTTGTAACCTCTTTGGCAGAACGGAATGCAAGTTCCTTATCCTTATTTTCAAAGCCCTCCCACTAATCTCAGCTTTCTCATAGTCGCCACGTCATCATCTTCCCCTGGTCACCGCACAGATTCATGCAGTTTATGGACTGCACGACTCTAGGTGCAGTACTCCCATTGCCATCGCAACCTGTGCAGCCTACCCGGAAGCCCTTCTGGCACCCCAAGGTCAAGTTAATCTTCTATCTATCCATTATTCCACATCAGCCTCAGAGCACTTTCTTTCCAACTTTCATGCCGATCCCTGCATTTGTCCTTAAGAGTCAGCATAAATGCCACCGCTTCCATGAAGCCTACTCTGATCTTCCCACGCTCCTATGAGACGCCCTCTGGTCCCACTGCCAGTGATTTGTGATTCATTGGGGCATGTGGCTCGTTCTGCTCCTTGTTCCCACTATACTGAGTTCCTGAAGATCTGGAACAGGGTCTTCATTGTTGTGCACCCAATGCCCAGTACACAGCCTGGCACTTAGTGGGTGCCGAATGCAGGTTTGTGGACTTGAAGTGTGTGCACATATTTGACTATTTCTGTACAATTATGTGTATCTCTCTCCAGACAAAAGGGGGTATATTGTTGATATGTATATGTGTGAGTCACTGTACCTTTGTGTGTGGTTTAGGGCCACACACATAATTTATCTTTTATTTCCAGATATTTATGAATGTCTCATTCTGACCACCAGGGCATGCTGTTTTTCTGTGTTTATGCCCATACAAGATGCTCTGTTTGTGACCCTGAACCAGTACATGGCTCCCTCTCACCACCAGGGGGCGACGCGCTGCCTCAGTAGTGTGGCTCCCACTGTTCAGTTTGCCAGTTTGCGTAGGTGGGGTGTGGCTGGTGGCATCCGGGCAGTGCCAAGCAGAAGGGCCTCCACCCCCTTGAGTACTGACTGGAACGGCTTTCTGTAGGGCCACCCCTTCCCCAAGTCCCCATTCCATCCTGAACAAAGCATAATTTGTAGGTCTGTGTGCAGACAAGTGCTGGGCAAGCCAGGCCCATAGCCTAGTGTTTGGCTCAAATTCCTTCCTTCTGCTTGGAGGTGGGGGTGGGGAGGAGAGTCCACTCCCTGCACATCCTTTTCCGGCACCAGAGCAGGCAAGAGCCAGACTTCTCAGGTTCCAGTCCCTCTTCATACTTCCTTATCCGTGTGGCCTTGGCAAAGTCCTTTTCTCTGAGCTTCAGTGTCCTCTTCTGTAAAACAGGAATAACTAATGTCATCTCTCAGGCTGGTTGCTAAATGAGAGATTATGTGTAAAAGGCTTAGAAAAGTGCCTGTCCCAAAGCTGTCATTGCTGTTGTTCTTTGTTGTTCATTGCTATTATAAGTCTGTTGTTATTATCACAGGCTTCTACCTAGTCACCAAGTCCGTAAGACATCCTACAGACAGCCTGGGGATGGAGAGAGCCTTTTCTAAACATAGCGGGTCCCTCCATGTCCAGCTCTGGAGGTCCCTGCTGTTATGTGACCTGTAATGCCTCTCTCTGCAGTATGTGCATGAGGGTGGCGTGGAGGACCTGGTGAGGCCCCTGCTGGCCATTTTGGACAGGCCTGCGAAGCTGCTGCTGCTGCGGGACATCAGGTGGGGAGGGGTCTGTGGGGAGCGCTTGAGGGCAGGAAGGGGACCCCTGATTCCAGCCTGTCCTGGCACCTCCAGAACTGAGACCCAGCCCACCTCCATCCCTTGTCCTCCCCCAGGAGTGTGGTGGCTCTCACAGACCTGGGCCGCTTCGACAGCATGGTGATGCCTGTGGAGCTGGAAGCTTTTGAGGCCCTCAAGAGCCGGACAGGTCAGCAGCTGGGGGGCAGGACTTGTGTATCTTGAGCCCCAGGTAGGGATAAGAATGGTATCTCCCTGTGAAGAGGGGGCAGAGATTGCCAGAGCCTCTTGAGCTGTGTTCCTCAGAGAGTCTGGCAGCGGGGCCCTGACTCTGACCTGTTCTCCTCTCTAACCAGTGCGGCCTACTGCTTTGCGGCCCTCCCGGCAGGACACACCACCCAAGCGTCACCTCATCACACCTGTGCCTGGTCAGTAGAGTCTCAGAGCCCAGGGAAGGGGCATAGTCCTGGAGGACTGGGGAAGGGAAGATAGGCTTTCCATCCCTGCCCCACGTAGGGTATTGTGGTTTCAGAGGTATTTATGGTTCCCTGAAAGAAAGCCCAGAACCATTTCTGTCATATCCACTCACCACTATTATCTACCTAATAATTGGTTTTAAACTCACTTTTTAAATCTAGTCTCATTCTATGCAGTAATCTCTGAGAAATCATCAGTTTGGTGTACGAGTCATGTTTTTTCTCAGATACATTTTAGTATAACTATTATGATGGAAAGTATTAAAATAGTTATAATGGAACCTAGGCAATGTCCTTCACTGCAGGGAACGCTGCTGTAGGGCCTGAGCAAACTCAGGCCTGGGTTTACTGGGCTCACAAAGAACTGGAGTCTTGTAAGGTGGTCTGGGCTGGTGAGGAGTGGGCAGCCTGACCTTGGCCCTCTTCCCCAGACAGCCGTGGAGGCTTCTACCTGCTGCCTGCGAACGGCTTCTCAGAGGAGGAAGACGATGGGGAGCTGAGGGAGCGGCTGGGGGACCTCCAGGTCTCCCTGGGTGCCTCTGCCCCCCGTCACCCTCATAAAGGAATCCCCCCTCTCCAAGATGTGCCAGTGGATGCCTTCACCCCACACCGAAGCACCTGCACGGTCCCTCCCCAGCCACCCCCTGTTGCTCCTCGGCCCCCAAGGCCCAATTGGCTGCTGACAGAACCCTTGGCACGGGAGGATCAGAGCCAGAGCCAGAGCCAGGGCTCAGCCCAGAGCCGTAGCCGCAGCCGGAGTTGCAGCCGCAGCCGCAGCCGCAGCCAGGGCCAAGGCAAGTCCCCTGGACGCAGGCGTTCCCCATCACCAGCACCTGTCCCCGCCCCCAACATGACCAACGGACGCGGACGCTACCACAAGCCTCGGAAGGCCAGGCCCCCTCTGCCGCGACCTCTGGATGGGCAGTCAGCAAAGGCAGGGGGCAGTCAAGGGACCTCTGAGAACAGAACTGGCAGGACAGCCAAGGAGGCAGCTACGAAGTCCCCTAGTTGGGAGCTGAGGACAGTCACACTGTCCAAGATGAAGCAGTCATTGGGTGAGTCCAGGTGGGAATGGGCCTGGCAGGGGGGCTCTTGGGTTTGGGTGAGATTGGTGGGTTTGGTTTTGGGGTATGACTCTAGGGCCTGGGCCTAGGAAAAGGATCTGGGTATTGGGGTATAGTTGTGGGGTCTAGATTTGGGGGTTTGGGATCTAGAAGATTTTGGAGCTGAGGACTCAGTAGTAACAGAACTAGGGTTTGGAAGAAGTTGGGGCCCTGTATTTGGGGATGGGGCCCTGGGTCTATCCTGGGAGCTCTAAGTTTTAGAGGTATGGTGCACCTGACCCCGTGTCTCTCTACTAGGCATCAGCATTTCAGGAGGCATCGAGTCCAGGGTGCAGCCCATGGTGAAGATAGAAAAGATCTTCCCTGGGGGGGCCGCCTTCCTCTGTGGGGCCCTGCAGGTGGGTGAAGTGCACCCAGGCCCACTTTTTCGGCCCAGAGCTGATTCTGGCTAGGGGTGGGCTGGTACATGTTCATCTGCCAGCCAGGCATGTTCAGACCAGGTCGTGGGAGGAGGGGGGTCAGGCCTGTAGGATGAGCATGCCAAGGGAAAAATCTGTCCCCTCATGCCAGCCCGGGCCTGAGGGTGGCCCATCCTGTTCCACCCCTAGCCCCAAGGGACAAAGGGCCATTGTCTGCGCCCCACCCAGCCCCCAACGGCTCCAGGCACAAAAGTCCCATTGTCCATCCTCTCTACCCAGATGGGGAGGAGTATCTAGTTGGTGGAGGTGAGAGGTTGGATGCTGTGGTGGGGGTGACCGAAGGGAGTGGGACTGATTCTCCCACTCTCATCCCAGGCCGGCTTTGAGCTAGTGGCAGTGGATGGAGAGACCCTGGAGCAGGTGACTCACCAGCGGGCAGTGGACACCATCCGCCGGGCTTATCGAAACAAGGCTCGGGAGCCCATGGAGCTTGTGGTCAAGGTCCCCATTCTCAGCTCACTACCCTTACCCTCTGACTCGTCAGACCTCATGGATCTGCACCCTCCTGCTGACCATTCCCCGTCCCACTGATCCCAGCCCAGTCCCCTCTCCAACCCTCCAGACTCCTGACACTAACCCTGGATTCTCCTCACCTACCCCGTGACTCTTCTTGCTGACCTCGGATCCTCCCACTGACCTCAAATTCTCCTGCTCCCTCCCAGACGCCTCCTATTAACTTCCTCTGGAGCCAGGAACCTCCCACTCCTGCTTGCCTTGCCGACTCCCAAAGCTCCACACTGGTGGCTGAGATCTCCCTTTCTTCTTTCCCCAGTTCACTAAGGCTCTGCCCTTTCCAGACAAACTCGGTGTCAAGGACAAGGTGCTACTAAGCAGCCTGTATCACCCACTCACTGCTCTCAACTTCCCAAGATAGGAAGGGGATCAAGAAACTTAAGGTGTGGTGCTTGGGATTGGTGGGCACTAACGATGTCCTCTGTGATTCTCCTAAGCACTGAGGGACATGGATTCTCAAGACACACCCTCAGGGGTCACTGCATCCACCGCCCAGTCCTGAGCAGTGTTCTGTGCAAGGATGGAAGGCTTTTCTAGTTTCTCAAACTCTGAAGGACCATTTCATGTGGTCCACTAGGACCTCAGACTTTCTATGGGATCTGTCCTTCCCCCTTTCTCCCCCTGGCCAACACCTATATGAGGAAAGAGACAGCAAATAACAAGGGAGTGGGGTAAAACGAGTTCCATAATCTTTATCCAGCACACTCACTTTTTAAAAACAAAATTTTTTTTTAATTTTTTCTTTGGGTTTGTACAAGAAATTTACAGTGTGAAAAATATACAAGTGAAAACGAGGCCATAAATCTGGGTGCGGGGAGGGGCCCCTTGGTCACAAACACAAATAAACAAGACATTTCTTTCTGAGTTTTTCCTTTGGTCTGACTACAGTCCCCTCACCTCAGGAAAGGGGATGCAGAGCTGGAAGGTGGGGAACAGAACTCAGTCCCAGCCCTGTCCCCCAACAAGGGCAGGGTGAAGGCAGGCACATCTGGAGCAGCTGGCATTGTCTGGCTCTCTCTGGCTTTGGGTTGGGGCAGAATGTGGAGATGAGGGAGCCCCTTTCTCTCCCTAGCCCCCTGGCGGAGTGAACTGGTGAGCATCTGGGGTAAATGGTGTTGACAGAGTGGCAGCAGGTGGGCAGTGAAATAGTGACTAGGAGCCTCTGGGTGACAGTGAACATGAGGACCTCCAAGGAGTCTAATCTTGCTCATCCAAGTTACGGGATGGCCCCGAGTTCCTGGCAGAGGCCCAGAGGCCTGGATCTCAGGGGGCAAGTGGCTCCTGGGTTCTCAGTGGACCTCAGGCTACTGTCCCCTTTCAGTAGAGCTCCCCACAAACCTGGGATGCCGAGGGCCCTAAATTTCGGTGGCAGTGATCTCCTCCAGGCAGATGCAGGGCGCTGGCTCGGCCAGGCCCAGGTCAGCGAGCTCCCGGGCCTCCAGCTCCAAGCTGAGCTGCTGCAGCTCCTGCTCCAGCTGCCGGTTCCGCCGGTACATCTGGATATAGTTGTGCTGCAGTTGCTTCTGGTAGCGGATCACCTGCTCCTTCTCTGCCTGCCAGGCCAGCCGTTCTCCCTCAAAGCTGTCCCTCTGCTCCTCGCCCCTTCGCCGTTCCCGCTGCAGCTCCACCCGCAGCCGCTCCACCTGGGCCCGCAGGCTGCCCCCGACCCCAGCTGCTACCCGTTGTGCCTTGGCCTCATCACTCTCTGCCAGGAGGAATGGGTCAGCAGCGGCAGGTGGCACAGGGGGTTCCCGGAGTCCAGCTGCCTCTGTATCCAACTGCCCAGCTTTCTCCCGCAGCCGCTCGGCCTCCTGGCGGTGCCGCTGCAGCTCTTGGGAACAGGTCTCCAGCTCCAGCTCTCGTGCTCGGGCTGCCTCCTGGAGGCCCCGTGCCCGGCCCTCACTGACCCGCAGCGCAGCCCGGGCCTCCCGAAGTGCCACCCGAAGGGCCACCAGCTCACTGCCCTTCTGCACCAGCTCTGCCTGAGACTCCTTCAGCTGCTGCTTCAGCAGGGAGATCTCGCCTGATTTCTGGCACACCTGGGGGTGGGAGGGAGTTGGGAAGGGTGGTGAGAAGGATTCTCCAGGAGAGTCAGACCCTGTATGGCATCATGCTATACATTTGGTGGAAAGGAGGTGTGATCATTGTAATAACCATTTTACAAATGGAGACACCGAGAGGAGCCTAGTGACATGCCCTCAGGTCACACGTCATGTCAATGGCTGAACTGAATACAGACCCAGATGTTTCTCCTTCAAAACGGGTGTCTTTACACCATCATGAGGCACGGCAGAGCCCTGGGGTCTAGGTGGTGGCAGAGTGTGCAGGAGTGGGGGCAACTGAGGGCAGTGCCCATATTTCCAGTTGAGAGGCCCTACAGTGTTTTGGTTAAAAGTGCAGACCAAGGAGCAAGACTGCCTGGGTTCAAATCTCAGCTCTGCCACAGACTAGGTGTGATTTTGGCCTCTAGCCTTTCTGGCCTCCGTTTCTACATTTCTAAAATGGGGATATTAACAGTACCCACCCAACAGTATGGCTATTATGAGAATTAGATGAAATATAGTCTAAGTAACATGCTTAGAACAGCACCTAGCACATAGCAAGCACTACATTCTTATTGCTGGCCGGAAGGCAGTGGGTAAGAATACCACTGGCTGTGGGCACTAGACCAGACCAGTGAGAAGACCAAACACGCATGTATGAGGCGGCCCCCACCCAGAAAGGGAGGTCAGAGGGGGATCCTCATCTTGGAGAGAAGAAGAAGAGGGCCTCTTCTTCTCTAGGGGTTGTGGGCTCAGGGGGTGTGGCTGGGCCCCTCTTTCCAGGCCCTATCCCTGCAGGACCCTGCTCCCTGCCCGTCCTGATCTGACCCACCTCCCACTTGGTCTCCTCCAGCCGTGGCCCGAGCTCCCGCTGCTCCCGCTCGAAGGTGGCGCAGCGCCGCTCCAGCTGCTCACGCTCCTGCAGGAGCTGCACAAAGTCGTCCTGTAGCTGCCGCTTCTCCTGCTGCAGCTGGAACACCTGCAGCTGCAGCAGCTGTTGGGCCCGCTGTGCCCGCTGCGCCTGGGCCGCACCGTCCTCTCGCAGGGCCTCGCGCTCCCGCTGCCAGTGCCGCTGCCGCTCCTCGTACACCTGCGGGCAAGAAGGCACACCTGGCTCCTGGAAGCTCCCCCAAAACTCTAGCCCTGGCTGCCCCCAATCACTGACTGCTCTGGGGCCCACTGGCCTGGGTTCGGGAAGGCTAGATTCCACTAAACAATGATAATGATTACGATAACGATAACTACTTGTATCGTAACAATACGAGTGTGCCGCGCATTATTCTAAGCACTTTACATCCTTTGTCTTCTTACTCCTCCTAACTCTTAAGAGGCCAGAACTATCCTGATCCATAGATGAGGAAACTGAGGCTCGGTTTGAATAAGTAACTTGCTCAAGTCTGAAAAACAGTAAATGGTGGTGCTGGGTTTGAATCCTCACCATGCTACAGTTAAACCAGACAGCTGGGGTGGGAACGGGGTCACAAGTGCAACTGCCCACCACTTTCTCCTCTGTCCCAGAACAAACTGAGATGCTCCTTGGCGTCCCGGCACCTTTGGATGTCCTACCATGCCACCCCCCTTATAGCCACTGACCACACCGGGCACATGGTTACCTCGCTGTCATCCAGACTGTCCCGCAGCTGTTGTAGCTCTGTCTCTCGGTCTCGGAGCTTCCCTTCCAGGACACAGTGCAGCAGGGCCTCATCCGAAGGGAAAACACAGGAGCTGCTGTCAGGGGAAGCCCGTGGACCGCTGCCCAAGAACACCCCAGCCACGCGACCCCCCACAGAGCCTGTGCTCTTGCTGGAGGAAGACCGGCCACTGTCTGAGTGGGAGGGCCCAGCAGGGGCCCCTCGGGCTGGCCCTGGCAGTGCCCCCCGCCCAGGGCCATGGGAGGGCAGGTGCCCACCTGGGGAGTTGGTGGCCGGCTCAGCACCCCCGGTGCTGTAAGTAGGCAGGCTAGACAGTGAGTTTCGGCCAGAGTCAGACAGTGTCCCTGATGGGCAGCCACTGGCCCAGCCACTCAGTGCCAGGGGTTTGTCAGCAGCCGAGGAAGAGGAGGAAGAGGAGGAGGAAGCAGGGCCCCCAAACAGCTGTGTTAGGCTGCCCTGGCTCCCAGACAGTCCGGTGGCCCGAGGACCCAGGAAGCTGGGGAGAGATGGCGCCCCTCGAGGTTTGGGCAACACTGGCTTGAAGGCTGTTGGGCGAATCAGGATTTTCTCCATGTTCTGAAATGAGATACCACGTGACATTGGGGATGAGCTGCCCAATCTTTCAAAGCCTTTATCACACTCTGTCCTCCCATCCAGAGTCCCCCATCCCCAACTGCTACCACTGGCTCAGGACCTCCTAAATGTCATCTTCATATCAAGTAATTTAAAAGGGTTCATCTTTAATCATTACTATAGCCAGGTGAGCAAAATATTATCACTATCTCCATATTACAGATGAGGAAATGGAGGCTCAGCAGCTAAAGACCTTGCTCAAAGTCACCGCTGCTGTATAACAGTATTACCAAGTAGGTAACATTTATTGAATACATAATATGTGTCAGGCACTAACTAGGTTAAATACTTTACATATATTATTTGATTTAATTCTCACAACAGTCCTATGAGAGCTGACCTATTACCTCCACTTCACAGATATAGTAACTGAGGCTCAGAAAGGTTAAGTGACTTCCCTGAGGTCATACAGCCACAATGAGGCAGAGCTGGGATTAGAACCTAGGTCTGGTGAATCTGGAGCCCATGTTCTTTCCTCTAAACAGGCCCCCAAATTCCTGCAGCTTCTCCAGGGGACTCCTGTTCTACCCAGGCCCCAAAGGGGAAGCTGGTCCTCACCTTCTCCAGTTTTCCAGAGACAGGAATGAGCTTTGGAGGCGGGCCACGAAGATGGGCATTGCGTGCCCGCTGCTCTCGGGCATCCTCAATATCACTGCTTGGGCTGGGGGGTGACTCTGTCCGGAAGTCCTCATTGATGTATGTGAAGGTGGTGCCAGGGACAGTCTTCCTGGGGGGCACAGCTGGGCAAAGCGGTTCCTGTGCCTCATAGCCACCCCGCAGCAGCCCATCCTGCTGCCGGAAGAAGGTGGGCCCAGTGGGGCCATGGTGGCGGGTAGGAGCCGGCCCTCCGGGGCAGGGCCGGCCTGAGATGAGGCTGCTCACACTGCCCATGGCTGGAGCTTGTGGGGCAGTGGCGGCCTCAGGAGTGGGCTCCAGTGGCACTGGCAGAGTCTGTACAATGGCCATAGCAACAGTTGCTCAGGCCTGGCCGAAGGCCTCCAGGGGAACCTGTGAGCAGGGCAGTGGTGTTAGACTCACTCCACCTTGAGCCCCCTCTCTATGCAAGGCCCCGAGTCCCTCTCCTGGAAACAGCCTCCTGATGTCAGTAACAATGCCTGATGCCCCCAGAGGCTCCCCTTCGAGCACTGGCATGAACCTCGGTTCTCCCTGAGCCCTAGACCATTGTCCAGCTCAGGTCTGAACATGGCTGAAGACTCAGTCCACCTAGCAAGATGACAAGGGGAGGGGAGATCTGGTGGTTATGTGGGACCCATGGCAGAAGAGGCCCAGGCCTCAGCTCAAACCTGCATCCCTACAGAGGCAAGGACTCAAGTTAGGGAGGGAGCCTTCTCTACCAGCTCCCAGCACAGGTCCCTGGTCCCCTGGGACAGATGGCCTCATTAGAGGGCAGTTTGGGCAGAGGTAAGCAACCACAGGGATGCAGTCAGCAACTCAGATGGTAATTAGGGAACAAACAGCTAAGGCCAGGCAGTGCCCAGCCTCCCCCAGCTGGGCCTCAGTTTCTCCCAGACAGAGAGGCGGCAAGGGTGGAGCTGGCCAAACAAGAAATCCAGAGCTCTTCTAGAGCCCACAGGTGCCCTCTGGGGTCTCCTGCCTCTCAATGGTAGATGCAGGCTTATGCTTATTGCCATCACAACACCCAGCCTCACCACACCCAATTGGTTAGGCCTAAAGGAGCATACACAGGACCACTGCCAACATCTACGAAACCTTCCAGCTTTAGATGTTCCCCAGAGTGACCCAGAGCGGGTGAGGGTAGAAGCCCCACCATCACCTCTGGCAGCTGATCCTAGATCTCACTTCACTGGAACCCAGGGAAGAGGGCTCCACCTTCCCAGGCCCTGCTCCTTCCTGGAAGGGGACAGCAAGTCTCCACCAGGAACTCCCTCCTCCCCCATCCTGAGGCTGAAGACCAGGACTCAGGCATCTGCTGAAGTCATCACACAGAGCATGGGCCAAGATGTGGACAGAGAATCGCGTAGGAGCAGGAGTGTGTGTATTTACTTACTTGTGTGTGTGAGACTGTGCACAGTGGAGCATGGAAATAAGCAGGGTGTATATAGAAATGTGTGTGAAAATATGAATGTGAGTAGAAACATATGGATACATTCACATATATGTGTGAATTCACATGTCCATATCTTACAAGAGTATGTGTGTAAATAAGGTGTCACTCTTAGAAAGTATTGAAAGTTACAAATGCATACATAAGTGGATTTGTGATATGCGACTAACACTAGATGAATATTTGGATGTCCACTTATATATCCAAGCTTATGTGTAAACTCCCATGTATCTTACACGAGTGTATGTACAGAAAAGCGAGTGTCCACAAATGTCTATCAAGGAGTGTGTGAACAGGAGCATGTGTGAGAGAGGCTGGGAGTCAGTGGCATGCAGGGCCAACGAGGTGAGTGGGAGCTTGGTTTCTGTCACTCACTGGAGTGTGGGAGAGGAAAGACATCTGATTCCTTTGCCTGGTCAATCTGTTCCCCTTCTTTCTTGTGTTTCATTAAGTCCCCCCCTCCCCCATCCTCAAGTCAAAAGATCCTGAGACCCAGGGAGATGTCCAGGCGGAGGAAGGAAGAGCTGGGAGCTAGGGGTGAGCAGTATCCACCCCACAAGTGCAAGCCCTGAGCAAAGCAGATGGAACACCCACTCCTCTACCTTCTCCCAGGCCACTCCAGGACATGGAGAAAATATTGAGGAAGTGGCTTCTTAGAGGGCAGTAGGGTCTTGCACCTCTGTATTTCTCCACTTCAGTGAGCACAGAGAAAGTGAAAACTGAGGGGAGGAGACAAACTCAGAGAGACAGGGACCCAAAAGACAAGAGACAAAGACGCAGAGCCTTCAGGGTCAGGCAGACAAGGAAACAGGCAGGCTCAGTGAGGAGGGGGAACCCTGAACCTCACGGATCCAGGGGCCCCTAAACCCAGAAACAACATAAAACTGGGCCCTGTGACCCAGACACCCAGGGAGCCGGAGCCAGGCATCTGGAAAGCGAGGCCCAGCCGGCCCCGCTCCCGCTCTTGGAGCCCGAGAGAGAAGGAGGGGCAAGTGGAGGCTCCATTTTGAGAAATGCGTCTGTGGCTGTGGGAAAAGGAACCCCAGCTCTCCCCAGCACTCCTTGAGTGACTCCTCTAGCACAAAACACCCAACCTTAGGGGTTGGGCGAAGCCGAGGGCCGAGTTCAGAAAGGGCCCGAGAAGGGTCTGGCTAAGGCCCGAGGGCCCGCACACGTATGTTAAGGGTTGAAGAGTTGGGGAAAGTCTCCCTTCACCAGATTCCAAGGACCAGTCATGAGGAATCGAGTCTTGGAACATGAGTTCCCATTCTGCAACAGGAATCCAGGACCCCCCCGCCTCCCAGAGATATCCCCACCCCGCCGCTTCCATAAAGTGGGGCCGCTGTGGAATGCCACCTCCCCACTGGCCCTCCGCCTCGCAGAAGTTGGGGGCGGCCCCAAGGTCGCCTCCCCGCCCCGGCGCCCCTCACC